GGTTCAAGGCCTCCAGGATGCCAGAACAAATGTTTGAATTGCAGGCCTTGCATTGCAACTCTGGTGATTCCGGTCCACAAAACAAAGCGTTTCAGTTTGTCATCTCATGGAGAAGAAAGTGATAGCTATTATTTGCTCTCCTGGAAATGCAGATGTGGAAATAAGCTATTTCAGCCATGAATCTCTTGTTGTTTACCTTTCCATTTATAGAAACTTAGCATATGCTACTCATTAGGTGAACCTTCTACCTAGCTGTAGCTGCTCATGCATGATGTGCTCTGAAAAGATAAGTTAAAATACCTTTAATTATCAATCATTTAGATGTGCAGTTGCACCTATTATTTGTTTGTAGATACTAACTAATTAGAATAATGTTGGGCTATTTAAGTACGAGTAAGAACTTTTTTTTAAAAATTTCGTGTTTGAATTATAAAGTTTTATACTTATGATCAAAATTATTATTATTATGAATCACTATATAAGGATTATTTTCGCAAAAGTTGAATTAAAATTAAAGTCGTTTTGTTAATTTATTGTAACGAATACATAGACAGTTAATAATACTTTTATCAATTTCGTTCATTTGTTTTTGTAAAACTAAAGTCGTTTTGTTAATTTATTGTAACGAATACATAGACAGTTAATAATATTTTTACCAATTTCGTTCATTTATTTTTATACAGTTTGATGATTAAACAATTTTAGTTTTAATTGATTTTTCGCAAAAGGAATCTTTGTAGACAATTCTAATTATAAACACAAAATTTTATGAATCGATAATAAATAATTTTAAATAAAAATTTCCTCATTCTTTAAGCTGCCGAATATTATACAACTAATTATATATTAATCTCACACTTTCAGTACTACTTTTGTCTTACATTGTGCTTAATTTTCAATTTTTTGTCTTCATGAATTCTTGTGCAATCATACACTGTGTTGATGTCATGTATGTCACATCGAAATTAATGGATTTTTTTACCAGATTAAACGGGTCAGATGCATACACACAACTGTGTACCAAAACAATGAGACGTCATGCTTTTGGCAGCTGGTGATAATTCATAAAAAGCAACCGTAGTATAATGGATAAGACAACACTTCAAAAGTGCACCATTTTATCTACATTGCCTTTATATGTGTTCAGTGGTGAAGTAATTTCAAGATTCGGTCCCTTTTGAAATACCGTAATCTTAATGAAACCATCTTGGCACTATCATTTTATCCCGAATAATGTTTGATTATTTAAAGATGGGTAAAAAAATTTATTTAAAATTCTTTGTGTTCGAATTATAGAGTTTTGTATTTATGATCAGAATTGTTCATATTATGAATCACTCTATAAAGGTCATTTTTGCAAAAAATAAATTTAAAATAAATTCATTTAGTCAATGTATTGTAGCAAATACATAGTACTTTTATCAATTCCGTTCATATGTTTTTTTACAGTTTGATGACTAAACGACCTTAGTTTAATTGCTGTTCTGCAAAGGCGATCTTTACAAAATGATTTATAATATGAATGGTTCTAATTATAAACACGAAATTCTATAAATCGACAACAAATAGTTTTGAGGACGAACCCTTACTCATTTTTTTTTTAATGGAAAAAGATTGGACGAGATTAGCTCTTTGGCAATGGTCGCGTGCGAGACACTCAACCTACCCCGAAGGGATGAGGATCATTACACCCAAAAACCCCTCATCCCTTTTTCATCATTTAAGTAGCCAAGTATTATTATTTTTTCTCTCTAAACTCGTTTCTTTTTTGGTCATATGTTTGCACGCTTGGAAGAAATGAGCAGGAACTGGTTACGATGACATCAATGTTTACACTAGGAATCATAACGAAAATAGAATTAAAGCCTAGTAATGTGTTCACAAACTATCTCCAACCCAAAATTGCTAAATGCTAAATTTTGCTACCCAAAACCAAATTTTTGTCCCATAAACAATTTTTTTCCCAAACCTGCGGTACTAAATTTAGCACCTTAACTATATTAATTGTCTAACAAACTTTTTTTTAAATATATTTTTCTTAATAAATCCAAACTTTAGATTATCTTCTACGAATAGTTCAACCTTAGAAAGGATTCAACTTTGAGAAGAAGTGCAAATGCACAATTTAGAATTGAATTATTAATCTAAGGAAATTCAAGGGACACAATCACACAAAGAAAGAAAAAGTGCAATAGAAACAAAATGAGTGGAAAGAAGGTAGTCTTGGAATCTATGATTATGGCACAAGTTAGTACTGTTATAGGTTGTAATATTTTTAGTAAAACTAAGAACATGATTTTTTTTGTCTCTATTAAAGAATGAATTGTAAGTACGTCCCCAAGTAAGGACTGGTTTGGTATTGTTGTGGTTTTAAAAAAAGCTGCTGTGAGAATAAGCGGTTGTGCTGTGAGAATAAGCGGCTGTGAAATAAATCAGCATGAGTGTTTGGTAAACTTTTTTGTAAAAGTGCTTTTGGAAAGAAAAAAAACAGTCTGATAGTGGGTCTTTTCATTAAAGGAGCACTGTAACTCCGTATGCTTTGAAAAAAAGCCAGTTTTCCAAAGCTGCAAATAGCAGCTTCAGCTTTTTCTTTTGATTTCAGCTTATTCTCACAGCAGCTTCCAAAATAAGCCCTTTTTTTTTTAGTTTACCAAACACCTAAAACTCTCACAACTTTTTTTCATGGGTGCTTTTTTTTTTAAGCACCTCACTCCCAAACCACCCCTAAATGTCTCGACATGTTAGGGCTTAATTGATAACACATGTCGATACATTTATATAACTGAATTACCATTTAATTAGTATTCAATTTACTTTAAAGGTCATTTACGCTATATTGGATTACTCATTTTACTAGTTGTTGGCTTTAAAAATTATAAAATCTACGTGACAGGAAAGTCGAGTATATAGGACCTAACTACGTTCTTCAGGAGTATCCAGCTGAATGTGGCTGTGCCAATTCGAGGCCAAGATCGGCCATGCATTCGAATACTTCGGTATAGTGGTGATGCTATAGATTGCGTCGATACTCACTTTTGAATTAAGCGATCTTAACTGAGTAAGGAACTTGTTTGTCCAAAATTCTACAACCTGAAGGTAAGACCACGCAAATCATGTGAAGGTCTGTATTGTGAACATTGATTTCGGTATCCTCGATTATATTTTTTAGAATACAAGGGTTCATTTTGGAAGTGCTTTTGAAAGAGTAAAACTGTTTTTAGCGAAAATGTTTTGGGTTCCAAAAACACTTGAAGTGGTGCTTCTTACAGGAAGCACTCCAAGTGCTTTTTCAAGATTAACTTGCATTTTTACTAAATATTAGTTCTAAAGATATTTTCTCTAAAATCTCTTTCAGTCATTTAAAAGCAATCAAATATCCTAATGAATATGGTGTTTGGTCCCCCCCCCTTCCCTTAATGATAAGAATAATTTTAAAAGAAAATTTAAAAGCACTTCCCAAAAGAATTCTTAGATCTCCGAACTTGCAACAGCCTATGAGGACAAAGATACTCAAAGAAGATGAAGGTTTTAACCTTAAACATGGTTTGGACATTCTCGTGCCGAACTCTAAATGTCGCTTGAGGATATATCCAATCATATAACATCGCACTCGTCGAGAAAGCTAGTGAGATGATCTCTTCAGTGAAGTATCAGAAATAATACCTCACCATCAAGACTTAGATAAATAATCAATCAGTCGGTCTATTTAGGTCAAACTAGTTCCACATGTGTAACCTGTCTGTCCAGCGGGTCACCTTCACTAGTTTCCTCTAGAAGCTTTTTCTATCCAGTCGGTCATTCTCCATTGACTATCAACTTAACCCCGTCTATCCAAATCGATCCTTGCGCTAGGGTTAGCAAGGTTAAATCTCACACAGAGTTGTGAAAATTCACGTAGAGCGATTATCATGACTAGAATCAACCCAACAATTTCCCCATGCGTTGAAATCTCAAATCAATTTTAGTTGTACCATGACTAGAATCCCAGCAGATGTCAAAGATGATTATCACTAGAATCCTAATAATTTTCTAGGAAAATCGGGTCTAATCAGCTTCATTTATTTCGTCATCCAACAACTTAAAGTATATGAGTCGCACATACAAAATCGGGTCTTAACAAATTTTTTATAAATATACTTAAATGATTGTTAGGATAACCAAATGGCTAAACGATTTTTCACTTAATTGAGTTTTCAAATGAATGATATATTAAGGGAGACCCAATTTTCTAACACTTCAAACACCTGTCGTTGTTTCTGTCTACCTTTCCTCTTCATTGTTTCATCGGCCTCCTACCTTGGATCCAATTTTTCAAAACTTCTTTCTTTTTCTGCTTATTCTGCACCCATTATATTCCGTTTCATATCCCACTTCTGTTTTTTCTCGCCGTTTGTCTCTTCCACACGATGGACTCGTACGTCAGACTTGACCTTACAAAGTGTTGAACTTTTGTTAAATATCTGTTTGGGTTATGTGGCTCAATACAAGCCATGGATGCGGATGAATTTAATCCCACTTCGAAACACAGGTGCGTATTTAATGTACCAAGGTGTTTTAAGATAAAACTTCATAATTGGGTATGTTCATTTCTTTGTACTAGTAGTGTAATACGAATCAAACTCACGATGACTGATTCTTATATATAGACATCATACTCTTCTAAACCAAATCACCGTAAAAGACCTTAGGTTGTTAAAGTTTGGAACAACAACGATGCGAGATCATGTATTACAACAACGATGCGAGATCATGTATTGTCCTTTTTTTAGCTGATTTTCACACACTACTTTTCACTTTTCATTTTTTTTCTTCATTGGATTGAATATATCAAACAAAAACAACGAAGATGATTAAACAAAGATGTAAAGGAGTAAAATAATGTCTTTTATTAGGATTAGACTTGGGTCTAAACATTAAAATCAATTTGAGCCCAACAAAAAGGAACCCCAAATCAACAAGGCAAAACTTACAAAGTTACCACCAATATAAATCCAACTTGGCTTAAAAAATCATACAAACTTCCCAAAAATGGCAGCAGCAACTCTCCTTCCCTCGACACCATTTCACTACACAAACCCACCATTACCACACCCCCGCCCAAACTCCCTCTTCTTCTCCTCCTTCTCAAACCCCTCCGCCCGCCACCAATTCCCTCCTCCTACTTCCGCCGATCACGTCTCCCCCTTTCCGTTTCATCCCGGCCGTCCATCCGTCTCTCTTTATTCTCGTCCCGGCCGTTGCCTTGCCGCCCAATCAGGACCGCCTCTTCCTCCCCCGGATTCTGACTCGACCAGCCTCGCAGGTACAGCTAACAGACTACTATTGTTCTTATAATTCGTCGAAAATTGGACCCGCTAGTTTCATTTCCATGCTAGGTTTTCCAAGCAGACGTTTTGAACCCAAACGGCGGAATTCGAATTCCTCTGTTTGGGTCGTATGGAAATTTTTAGAGTTTGATGTTCAATTAGTATTGCTATTGTATATTGGAGAATGAAGATGTTCTAAGCTTGTAATTGCAGTTCTCAAAAGTTATAATCTTTAGTGCCTTACTCGCACTCTTATGGTAAATGGAGTGTCTGTTGATGTATAGGATGGTAAAAACTTACGTTCCGCTAAAATATGAGCGTAATTGGAGACTTGGAGTGAGTATGCTAAACAATAGCATTCAGATTCAGTGTTACAAGCTGTCACAAGAAGTTATAGCGCAAACCGTAGCATCCTAAAATATTGCATTTAGGTATTCTAGCACTGCAAGATAGAACTAGGATGATAAATTTAACGCAAACGGTTGTAGTTAGCTCTAAGAGTGTATGGTTGGACATGTTAATGCTATATATTTTGGCACATCTAAATGCCAAATATGCTGCAGCATGCCTAGATGTTAAGTACGCCAGAATTTGGCAAATGTACTTCAATGGTTTATTTTGTTAATTGGGTGTGACAAAAATAGCATTGGCACGAAAAAAATGGAATTTACCATTAGAATTGCGTTAAATGTGGATACTTATGGTTTCATTTTGAGAAATGATGGTTAAAGAGGAATGGTACACCAATTATGTTAGTTGAATAAAGTATGCTAGGTAAGGAAAAAAAACTGATAACCGGAAGAAGAAAAGTACTGATGTTCTGAAAAATTATCCGAACCATTGGAGTAGATGTACAAAATGATGGCATATTTGATATTTGTATGTGCTAAAATCAATAGAGCACCCAACCATTGAATATGCACTTGAATTATCTCCAGTCTTTTGTGCTAAACTTGTCCAAGCAATGCTGTATGAATGCCTGAATTCCATGTTTATTATACTATAAAAGTATATTTAATTGTTGGTGTTATTGCCTCATACCAAAGTTGCAATCAAAGTGTCACCATGCCCAAGTGCTGCATTTTAGCATACTCTAATGCTATATTTTAACATAATCCTTCTACTTGCTGAGTATCGTTAATTATTCAACCCACTACTAGTATCATACCTAACAACTTTTACCTCATCTCTCTAAAAAGAAACTTCATTTTCAACATTGATGTTCCAAATTCTCATACTTGTAAGCAATTTGAAAATAGTGGTAAAAAAGGATGGTGAAACTTATAGCATCAGTGTTTCACAAATAAACCCAATGAGATTACCAGCGCATGAAGTGTGTTGGTTCTGGATGTATGTTTCTCCACAAAAACTGTATTCTCCTTTACTCTTCTTCATTTCTTTCTTTGTTAATTCTTCTATACAATAATTTTTTAGTTTTTCAAAGGTCCAGCCTATTCAATATGTAAGACTATTAATTGGATAGAGGTATTGCACCAGGAATATATAATACTTGGCCAGAGGTAGTGTCTCAAATAGCGGGTTTTAAGGGCCAAGCACTTTTTAAAGGTTTTTATGATAGAAATGAAGCTTCCCTCGCATTGTTATCCTTTTTTAAAAATAAAAAAAGAATTTCAGAAAGTTCTTGTTTTCAGTGCATGTCATTTGTAAGGAAGCAAGTTTTAATGGATGTTTATTTAGTTGAAAATCCTGTTCACCCAGCCAACATCTTTCTGGAGCATATTTCGAATGAATCACGGTATGTTCCTTTGTATCATAAACATGATCCAACTATATGACTATTTATTGAAAAGGCTGATATGGCTTTGTAGTATTATTGGATATATAGAAGACGAAAATAGGTTGGTTGCGTATGTTATAGCTGTTGTTTATGTGGACTAGTGTGTGAGAATCAGACAAAGGATAACAAGTGAGCCTTAAAAGGAGATCTTTGTTGGGATTGTTGGCGATATGATGTGTAATTGAGGTAATCATGTGTTTTCAGGAATGGTACTTTAGTCCTTTGCATAAACTAATCATCATATTGGTGTCTTGTATCGTAAAGATATTGGTAGGAGGATAGGCAATCTGTAATTGGTTGTTTGTTTAGAGAGAACTGTATGTGTGTCTGACTGCTTGCTGTTTTGTTTCGTTGGTTGTTTCACTGAATTTCCATTATGGAGATGAGATTTAGATGCGGAATTTAAGGGCCTGTTTGATCAGGAGTGAGGAGTATGGGGACCTAATAGAGTGCAGTCAATCTTAGCTTCTTAAGGGTGGTTATCACTTTAATCATAATTAATGTAAGATTAATTCAGCTATTCTTTTCTCAAATGCTTTACCTATTATTGAAGCCGGATATCTTGAGTTTGAATCCTTGCAAGTGCATCCTTACAATATGATCCGATTTGAACATATTAGGCTCTAATGGCAGAGAGAAACCCACATATGAGCGGGCACTAAAGAGAGCCAAGAATTGAGTTGCATTTAAATGAAATAAATGTAACTAAGCATATAAGTTGGGCTATGCACATGACGCCATTAGATTATGAAATATTTGGTTGATGGAAAATCCCTCCCGCCTCCCGCCTCCCGCCTCCCGCCTTCCCTTTCCTCTCTTTTTGAATGTGTTCTCTCATTTGTAATGTTGTTTGGATACTCTTGCATGTTCACTTTTAGAAAGCTTACATGTTGCCACATCTTGCTATATAACTACTTGTCTATCACATATATAATGGTTATTCAAGCTTTTCAGAATCGTGCGGCTCAGTTTTCTCCTAGTTCAAGCTTACTTTGTATAGAGCACTGACCTCAAGTTTCTCACCGGTCTGTTTCTAACTTTTTATGGAGCAGGTCTTGCAGCATCTTTCTCCAAATTTCAGGACAAAGTACAGATCTTCTTTGCTGTTCTTTTTTGGATGTCTCTTTTCTTCTGGGCTTCTGTGTGGGATGAAAGGAGTCGACCAGACAAGGGCTCACGATTTAGAAAATGACCCAGTAAGCATTTGTTTGTATATAATGATAGACTGAATGGGTAGTGGTAGCATATACATTGAAAGAGGATCAATTTCTTGGGATAAAATAGTACATGTGGGAGGTAATTACATACACAAAATTTAGTTTCAGATGCTGTAACTATCAAAGGATGAATAAGCAGCTGTTTTTAACTAACCTCCCTGTGAGTTTTAACTAAGACACCATAAGTACATTACTTTAGACAGGTGAACCCCAAAAACACGTTACTGCAAATTTTGAAGATTTCAGGGACTGTGCGGTAACATTTCGTTTTTGGTCTTCGGTTTCTGTTATTTCTCTTTAGTCAAAGATAGGAGGGAAATATATAGGAAAAGGAAAGAGGTGCGAGAAGAGAGGAAGGAGGGATGGCGTTGGGAGAAAATGTATTGGAGTGCTACACAAAACGAAAACTAAAAACTAGAGACTCAGCGCCCCGTTGATAATCATTTTGTTTTTAGATTTTAGCATAGTGGGGAACTACATGGGAGAATGAGGAATATAGAAAGGTGTAAGGATGGCGGGAGAGATGTAGAAGAAATGTATAAGAAAAAGGTATACAGGAAATTAGAACGAAAAATATATTAAGTTACTGCAGTAGTTCAAATCTGAGAAGCTCAGTGGGTGTGAGGGATTTAAAGACCTTAATCTGTGATCATGTGCTTTTTGTCTCAATCATGTGCTGTCAATTAATAGTACGTAATTGTGATTAGGTTAGGCTCAAGACTGCACTGTAACTTGTGGAACATGACATGCACCAATCACCGAGTCCCGGAAGAGCAATAGGGTGGTACCTCAGGTACCGTTTGGTATGTGGGATGGGACGGAATAGAGTAGGACGAGGCGTTCCGTTTCACATTTGGTGCGTCTAAAATGGGTGGAACGCGCTGTTTCACGGGACGAATTTTGGGTGAATTTTCGTTTCGCCTCACCCTCCTAGAATGACTCGTTCCACATCCGTGGAACACAAAACTATAACCTCTCTGTCTCCTTCCTCGTTTCCATCCGAGGGCATCTTTGCTCTCTCATCGTTCCGTTCCGTCCTATCCCGTCCTGTCTTGTTCCATTTCGTTCCGTCCCATCCTGTCTGCATACCAAACGATAGCTCATGGTCCTCACCTTACCACTGACGTCGTCACGGTCCAATCTGTAATTTTGTCCTGCAGTTTAGTGAGTGCGACTAATTGATGAAGACATTGTCAGTACATCCTCTGTGCCTTATTGCATTCCAACTTGGGGTTTGTTTGGGACTGCTTCTCTAAGAAGCACTTCTACTACTAAGCGCTTCTGTGAAAAATGTTTTAATTAGAAACATGTGGAAATTTTAATTAAAACTCCAAGTGCTTTCTAGATGTCCAACTTGAAGAAACACATAGCAAACGTAATCGGCGATTAGGAACCCTAGAAAGCATTTTAGCCCTTTCAAAAGCAGCCTCAGACCGACACTTATTCCAGTCGAGTTGGTTACTATGGTGCATTGTATGTGTTTACACATGGTGTTTTTTATGTTGATGAGTTTTTCTTGGGGTTAGATTCTGGCTTTCCCCATCAACCAAATTCGATCAGCTTGACTTGTTCCCTTGGCATTGTCTCCAGACAGAATCCTAAGCTCCATGTGATGGTAGATATTGATCTGCCACTGTCATACCCCCACACTCTTGGAGTACACGCAACTTCAACAAGAGAACATTTTACACCGGTAGAAACTAGGTTTCACTCAAGAAAGAAGATTTTCTATATTCTTAGTATCGAATATTTTTGACATTTTAACCGTCAGATCTTTAATCAAAAAACATAAAAATCAAGATATAATGGTTAAAAGCCCAGAGCATCGTGTACCCTTGAGCACTCGTATAATTTTAGCTCAAGGAAGTGGTGATCGGAAATATGCGTTGTAATTGGTTGTATATATCCGAGGATTACTAGAATGAGACAAAACTCTCGTGTTCATTCTTCTTTCTTTCAACTTTGATATATAGAATACTCCGAAGCATGGTAGAAAATTCCGAGAGCTTGTCGACGAGTACAATTACAATGTAAAAATCTTTGCTCAGCCGTGTTCGTTCTTCTATCTTTCAGCCAGGAAAGTAGAGCAATCAATTGAATTGCACAACGCACAATGGCGACGGCAGAAATGGTAGACACTCGGAGCTGTGACACTTTGCTCACAAGTCAAAAGCAAAGGATATGGATCGTCGCGTCGGGCCAATCGGAAAGCAGAAGAGGGGAAAAGGCAATAAATTAAGACAGCGGGTGAATGTGTGTCCTACCTTCACGTGACTTCACGGAGACGTTGTCAACGTGTTGATCGGGCAGAGCCGCAGAGGTGGTCTTGTGCTTCCGTGGGCGTATAGTCTGTGGACAGCACACAATGTTCAGCAGTCTAGTAGCCCGGTGTACCTTTGTCGCATTTTATGGATTTGGACTCTGCTCTCAGTGGAGTGAGCCTCCTGTGCTTAGAGAGCTGAGCCTTCTGAGCAAATCACATAAATCGTTAAATTTTGATTCAAGTGTTACAATTATTATAAATTTTAAAGAAATTTTCTATTTGTAATTGTTGGAAGAAAATTCAACGATTTATGTGATTTGTAGTTGTTGGAAGAAAATTCAACAACTACAAATAGAAAATTTTCTATTTGCTCCTGAGAGGATCCAAATCCGCATTTTATTTGCCAATTGTTGAATGGTAGGGTTCCAGGTTGAATGACTTTTCCTTGTTAGAAGTATTCGAAGGAAGTTTTTTTTTTTAGAAAGTATTTCAATTGTTTTTATTAAACACTCGGATTTTTAATTATGAATTTTATTGGGTTTTTAGTAAAAGTATTTTTAATAATAGTGTTCTTGAGAATGTCCTCTGTGGAATTGATTTTAATATATATAATATGCCTGGTGTCACATAATTGATTTTGCGGGCCTCACACGACTACCACAGCACCACTCTAGATAAAGGATCAAAATTATGAGTTTGAAATATAAAGATTAGATTGACGAGTTTTTAAAATATAAAAGATCATTTGTAATAAAAACCTAATACGTGAAAAACAAGGATCGATCGAAAACAAACATGTTCAGGTGCTAAGATAATGAGTTGTCAGGGACAGAAGGATGAAAAAGAGTAGATGAATGATGGTGGGAGAGAGAGATATATAAAAAGAAGGCTTAAATATTAAAATGGTCCATGCATTTTAGTCATTGGGCCAATTTAGTCCATGTGTTTTCAATTTAGCCAATTTGGTTATTGTGTTTATCTCTGTTAGCCAATTAAGGACATTTCCATTTAATTTCTGTAAAAAAAATTATAAATTATTATAAATTATTTATAAAATTAAAATTTATTTGATTTAAAATATTTAAAAATAAAATAAAATTAAAAATTAAAAGAAAAATTATTCTCCTCCCAACTCTTTGACCTCCTCTATAACATTACTCCCTCTCTTTTCCATGTCACAACCTTAATCATTTTTTAGATTGGAAGTATTATTTCTTAAATGTGTTATTTCTCATTGATTTGCATTTTTCTGTAAAGAGAAAAGATAATTATTTGTCATATGATTTTTCTTATGGATTAGTTAAAAGAGATTGAATAAAATGTCCTTAATTGACTAATAAAGACAAATACAAGGACTAAATTAGCCAAATCGAAAACATGGGGACTCAATTCGCCATATGGCTATAAGACAAGGATCATTTTGACATTTCAGCCTAAAAAGAATGTATTAAGAAAGGCACAAAATAAAAATTAAAAACCAATTAAGGCCGGGACTGTTTAATAATCATTTCATATTCAATTTTTTGTTGTGGTTTTCATTTTTCACTTTTTAAAAAAAAACTAAAATCTTGTTTGGTGGCTACTTCTAGTTTAAAAAAAATGAAAACAAAAAACCAATAGGCCAAATATTGAAAACTCATAAAGTAGTTTTTAATTTTCATTTTTTTAAAACTGAAAGTAGTTACCAAATAAGATTTCAATTTTTCACAAAAGTGAAAACCGAATGGTTATCAAATGGCTTCTAAGTTATTTTCACTTTTAAATTTTGTTTTCATTCACTATTTTCTTATTTCTTTTCCTCTCTCCCCACATCATTCTTCATCTGTCACGCCCGAATTCAGCGTCAGTGAAAAAAAATAACCTGCTCCAGGTGCACGAATACAAAATAAAATAAAAGCAAAGGGAACAAAACAGGGGTTTGGAAATGAAATTCTCTTATATAAACTAATACTGCATTGTATCACTACAACAATGGTTCGGAAGCTCTATTATATAAACTACACCCGGAACTCAATCAACCCAAATACCCCTTGTGTTAGTCATCTTACTCTTCTCTCAATCGCCAAAGTCTACACTATTTCATAACATTCATATAATTTCACTTTTAACAGCCTTGCTGGTTCCTATGAGAGTCAAACTCAACCACACAAAAAAATATTTCATTTTCATATCCAAATCTCAAATATCCAATAAAATCCTTTCACTTCAATATGCAATGATATTTACACATATATATATATATATATATATATATATATAATTAACATATCATGGTATCATATTATCCAAAATAACAATAATATATCAAACTTCAAATATAAACAATTATATTAGTTTTTTTTTAAAGAGCAATTATAGTAGTTATAAATATACCTAGTAGAACACATGTTTCACAACACTAAATAAGACAAAAACTCAAATGGTGATAAGTTTCCCAAAATACTTGAATTCCAAAGCTATAATATTACTCCACGTACGCATCAAGCCAAGGCAAGCACCTTCATTGCCACCGGCACCTCTAATGCCAACAACTTCTTTTTCACTCTCTCTCTCTCTCTCTCTCGCTCCCCTACGGGAGCTCAATGTGCATGCGTTGCATGCTACCTATTCTGAAAAGAATGGAGCTTTGCGCGTATTTATATTAAGGGTAACGTGAATACTAAATTTTACAAATTAAATGACATGGAAGTTAATGATAGGATTATGACTTAAGCGTTGATAAAATATACTTATTCATATTGGTGACACATTATTTAGTTTGCAAATTAGAGTAGAGTTGGTTGTTATGCGTTGGGGTTGAAGGTGATGACTTGATGGGATGGTGGTGACGGTTAGTTGGTAGAGACCATAAGTCTATGCCCTTCTATTGATTTTGGAGACAAAATAAGCTCTAATTAATATAATAGAAATTTAA